GTCAATATTTGTAACTGAAGAGGAGCATAATCGTGCAAGTACTTCCACTTGTATTTAAATTATTTTCATAATCCAAACAAAAAATACGTAATTCGAATGCAAATATACGTAAACTTAACCATACTTTGATTTAAATTCGCGCGTTCTTTTGTAAAACGCGATCCTACGAATCACGATTGTAATCATGATCGCGAAGTAGCCGAAAGAAAGCCCCTATTATTGATGGAGCAATTAGCATTTAAATTGAAGATTCCTGTGAATAGGATGCAAGATTGAAGGAGGGCTTCGTTGTAATAATCCTACGTTTGTCGTGATACTTTTCCGTCAATTGTGGAAACTTGTGCTGTTTACCTGCATACCACATGTAACGTAATATCAGCTGCCATAAGGTGAGTTTGTTAATATTTCTTCATAATACCCAACTGTTAAACTGACGTCAATGTTATTGATAAGTTACTTACAACGGCCTTGGCGTGCTAAATTCTATAACGTTTGGAAACTGTTTCTATCCCAACGGGAAACAACAACAACTTGAATGTTCATGAACTTGGCAAGCCTACTACAGCAGACCATGGTTCTGCTTACTGATATCGTTAGTGTTCCGTTAGTGCACGTTAGTGCCGCTGAACAAATCGTTAGTGCACAAAAGGAAACTTACTATTTTAAAAAAATATTTGTGGCCTGCTAACTTCATGCCAGCAGACCCATTTGAGAAAATCGATTCAATCTTTACACTAGTTAAACTAGCAGCGTTAGTGCTCGTTAGTGTCGCCAATATAAACGTTAGTGCTCAAAGTGTAACAGCTCAAAACGTTGTTTATATTTGAATTTTGTATTAGAATATCCATTCCAATTGTATATTAAATTTTAGAGAGATTTTTTCATTTACGATTTGAAACTTTCATCGAATTGTTTATATTGTTTACATTGTAAGCTATAACGTTTGCATCATAAAAAAATAGACGAGTTTTTGACCGTATTCATTGATTTCAAGATATAATTCAGGTAACGTATTACTTTTGATTTTGATGGGATATTTAAAATTGGTGCTTTATCTGAGTACATCGTTCCCAATTTATTGTCCTCAATCTACCCAAAGTTCTGGATATATCAACACCACATTATTTCTTTACCACATAATACATACAGGTATTTGTATAGGCAAAGTAAAAAAGGTAGGTTTTCTATGACGAGTTAACAATTTGCGGACCAACTACAAGTCAATAGTAAGAAAAATCAACATCATTGGCGTAACCAACGTGGAGGTAACAATGTCAAACCTATACACTGTGAAACATCATACTAACAATTTAGTTAACATTAACATGTCTTTTTGCCCGCATTCAATAGGCAATAATTTACCTAAAATCCCCAAAAGTGTCAAACGTAAAGCGGACTTAGGGCAAGTTAAACGAACTCATTCGAGCACGGCGATTGAAGTGGCCGATGTTAATTAATATTTGGACAATGATTTCCTAAAGGGGAATTTTGGTCAGCATTTGTGTAACTGTTGTTAAGTGCATTTATTTACTGTATTAATCTATAGTATTGAAGGTACATTCTTGCCTTGAGTCTTGAGTATATTGATTATTAGTTAATTAATATTAATGAATTAGGGGTGTTGAACGCTATGCCTGCGGAATGCGACTTTGTGTGTGCAGTTAAATGCCCCTAGCCCCATGGGTATAGAAAATGATTTTTTCCACAAAAATGCATATACCCAACTCAATTTTTCTTTAAATGCAAATGCAACGACACTGCAGGTACTATCTGTAGCCGCTCGCGGTGAAAGTGCTCGATACCCTACGACGCGTCTCGAGTCATCAGATCGATGTAAGGACTCTGTGCCTGGGCCCGTCCCAGCCCATCGCGTTGGTAGACTCCCGCTTACCCTCGTTGTGAGGGTGGGTTATCGCACGGGAGGATACGTGGTCTTGCACTCTGGTATACAGTGTGTCTGTATGGAGGAGAGCCCTGGGCAATTTTTATTGTGCATGTGGGTTATGTATTGCGGGTCCATGCGGGCCCGTTCGTCATAAGGCCCTCTTCATGGGAATTACGTTTTCGGTCTAAGGGCTCCAGGACAAAGTGGGCCGACTGACGTGATAAGATCTTTGTTCCACCATAGTGTAAACTGTAAAGAATAGAATTACACCATGGTTCCATGCATGGGGGTAAGGATTGCGCCGGGGGATACGTTGCCGAGTGGCATATGAGGACCTGGACGTGTGAAGATCCTGTGTTATCGTTAACCCATAACTATTAAGTGTAGCATGTTTGAGGGTAGCTAAGTAGCTTAATCCAAGACAAAGGCATTTTCAACCTTCTTGCTTTCTTCCTTGGAAATGCTTTTTCATGTAGACGATGGCTCGCGCATGGTTTAATTTCCTTCTTCGGTATCCACCTAATGGACCGATTGTTTCAAGGTTGCACGATACTCTTTGCCACAACGACTGGCACAGATTTTACACTGCTTCACCCCGTATACTACGTATGCTCTTTTGCCACTATTTACATTTGTATTTGTAAATATACAATTAGTAAAATCTGAGCCAATCAGCTCGCTTTATCTTACAACACGGAATGGTTTAAATACTTAACTCGCGCTAGTTTATTAAGGTGTTACGTTTATGGCTAAAAGGTTTCTCTTATTTCTTATTATTCATTTATTTTTTTCTGTTGTTGGGATCAGTTTCAGATCGGAAGAAATTTCTATTAATTTTTGTTTATTCAGATATACAGTTTCTTTTAATTTACTTAATGTAAATTAACGTAATAGCAACGCATATAAATTTTGAGCGTGTCACTTTACGCATGCGGACAAACAAAACCATCGAAGGGGAAATGGGAACGAGACAGAATTATTGTGAACGTGGTACGATATACCTACTCCGATGCAATATTACGCTACTTTTTTTATCTATCGCCGCACCGCTACGCTACTGTATTGCACGCCACTGCCGCCATCCCTCTACTGCCGCTAAAAGGTAAGTGCGTGCTCAAATTTACGCAAAATTTATTATCTTTCAAACCGCACATTATCTGGTCCTTCGAGCCGGATTTTTATGGAAAATTCTTCCATCTGGATTTGTTCAGTTTTTTTAAACGCGAAAATTATTTAAAATTATTTACGAACGCGCTATTGTTTAAGCCGCAAATGTAACATTCTAACCGCTTATCTTATTCCTGTCAATACACACATAGTCGATATCAGGCATTGGTAATCTCATTTGTTTGATTTTACGAATTTCTGTACCTCAAGCAGGTTCGTATTTCCTGCCTATCATGTCGTCCAATGCAAACAAAATTAAGCAATACAAGGCCTTATGTCAATTAGATGTAAATCGGGTTCTTCAAATCAAACAATTTGCCCAAAATGCAGCCTCTGTTCCTAATACGCATACGCAATTTAGTATGTTGTACAAACAATTAGATACAATAGTTGAAGATTTTCGAAAAAATTATTACCTACAACCTAATTGCGCTTCTTGCTTTACAAGAGGATCCATCGTACGCCGAAGAAGAGGTATTAAGAACTGCTTTCGAGTTTGATGTTTCTTATATTCAAGCCGTTTATTATACCCATGTAGAATGTGAGACAATTCCTGCAAAGATATCGACGCCACAATCGCCTGTCGTTAAAGATTCTACATCAAGAGGCGATAACGTAAAACTTCCTAAAATTGAAATTCCAAAATTTTCTGGAGATATCAAGCAGTTTAAATCATTCATTGACATGTTCAAAACGTTGATTCACGATAAACCCATGCTTTCAAACGTTGAAAAGTTTAATTATTTAGTTTTATCGCTAGAAGGTCCTCCGCTCGCTTTGGTTCAACGCGTAAAGATATCTGACCAGAATTATAAAATTGCGTACGATTCTTTGCTTAAACGTTATGATAATAAACGATTAATAGCAATTGCCCATTTAGAAGCATTAGAAAATGCGCCTGTTGTTACCGATCCCTCGAATTTTCAAAAATTAAGGTCAGTTTTGGATACATTTCTAGAAAATCTTTCCGCTCTCGAAAATTTGGCTTTTCCTGTTAAAGAATGGGATTTTTTATTGTACTATTTATTACGCAAACATCTCGATCAACAGACGATGTCACAATTTCAGTTCGAACAACCTACCGTGTGTGATGAGGTGCCCACTTATGTTTCCCTTGTCGATTTTATTAAAAAAAAATGTAACTCCTTGGACGATGGAGAGGTGATCTTTCTTTTAAAAATAAATATTCTACTACGCTATTTGCTAATAACGCCGATAGCATAACTTGCTGCTCTATTTGTAAATCAAAAGAGCATTTAATTTACTCTTGTCCCGAATTTAGAAATAAAACACCTTTAGAGAGACTTAATGTCGTAAAACAAAACAAACTCTGCACAAACTGTCTAGGGACGCATATTTTTCAGAATTGTCGTTCTACTTAACGACTTGCCGGGCATGCAATGCTCATCATCACTCGCTACTTCATATTTTCAAAAATGCTTCCTCTCTTTCCAGTTCTGCACCGAACGAAAAGAAAGAACCTAACTCTGGTTCTTCGCAATCAAAAGATGTGGTCTCCTTATTAGGCATGAATTCCTCTCCTCGTAACGTATTACTTGCTACCGCAATTGTGGAGATACTGGACTCTCATAGGGTTTATAAGAAGGTAAGAATTCTCCTTGATTCAGGATCGCAGTCAAATTACATTTCCCAGAAATGCGTTAGAAACTTGGGCTTGTCACGCTTCAATTTGTCAGTTTCAGTAAGAGGGTTAGGTAATATGGAGGGAGTAACGACTTGTGGTGGAGTAGCTCTTCAACTCAAACCCGTAGGTCATGCCGATCCAGTGATTAACGTGGAAGCCGTCATTTTACCTAAATTGTGTTCAAATTTACCGCACCACTTAAT